TCATCCCCTGCTAGCAGCACGTATATTAACACACGCACACACTACCGAACGCACAACCACCAACCCACCGCTACGCACTACTACGCTCCACAATAACGCACTGATGATGTCACCTCGATTGGTGATGAATCGTTTGCAATCAAATTGCCCAGCTAAGCGAACAATCCAACGGCCACCCTTTAAATTTATTTGTTTCTCCGTAATATCATTGCTCCCATGTCCTTTGTTATGTTAGTATGCTTCACAGCTGACAGTAACGTATGCCTCTTTTGAAAATGGCACGCAAGGGCTATAGTTGTTTTGAGTAAGCTTGCAATCACAAAATCGAAATATTGAATGGTCAAGCCAATCTGTAGTGAAAATGTTGGGGGATATTTGGGGAGATTTCCACTTGGTTATAAACTTCTGACTGTCATCACACTACCGGCAGGTTGTAAGTAGTTCAGAAGGAGCCATTATTCGGACGATGAGTAGATCTTTGTGTGAAATGTTGCACTCAAATTGTCAGTGGTTTGAGAGGTAGTTCCCTTGATTGAATGAGCGACATCATATCTTGAGTGGTTGCGGATAAATCAAGCTGTTTGTTGGCCGCCAATGGTCAAATGGCTGAATGTTGCAACGGCCCGAAAAAGAAGGGAACAGCTGTACATTGCACCTTGGCTTTCATGACAGACTGCCTTCTTATATAGAAGTAGCGAAACATCTCCATACTACCAAATGTTTGTGCTGTCTTCAGAAGTATACAAGAGTATATTGTCTTATCAGAAAAATGTTGACTGACGCGGTCTTCTTATCATCAACTCCTCAGGAGTGACCGCATACAAACAGCTTCTTTGTTTATGGCATCTACGTCTGCACAGGAGCCTGAATGGATCAACGCGAAATCATGTAGTTTGCGCAACACTGTAGAACAAAATACACGCGACGTTTTCATTCAAGGCATGTTGGGGAAACCTAGTGAACTACAATTGCTGGGGATACAACTTTTGAGAGGCCAATTTTAACTAACAACCATCTTTATTCAAAAAAGTTGAAATCCATCAACACAATTTAATCTCATCATCATTGATCCTTTGACACATAATATTCCTACTTGAAAACCTGTGTGATAGCAAGGCATCAGGTCACCACTTGTAACCACAAACTATTCGCTAATGATTACAAATAAGTCCTTCTTCACTCATGTGTACATAAAAATGTGCCTTGGTTTCCCCTAGGGCCCAAAAACATGAATCTATCCCGTAAGTGACGCCAATCTGGGTTGGAAAACCCGGAGGCATTTTATGGCTGTTTCATGTTTATTGGTAGTCAGAAGCACCGCGTATGTGACTCCAGTCTTGAATGACGAACCGGCGACCTTCCGACTAACGGTTCAATCCTTGACAGTTCAACCACATTGAATTAATCAGCAGTGTGATTATCTTTCACTTAGCTGAAACACAGTGTCACTCATCGTTCAATCACGCAAAACTACATCACGTGGCCACGCATTGACCGGCTCCTCAAGTTTCACGCATCCTGTTAATCTACCCTTACTCCAAGTTACCTGTAGATTTGATTTGTAGATTTGTAGATTTGATTTTTTTGTTCCATAGCATAGAAAGTTATAGTGCGCAAGTTACACAATGCCGTTACTCTGCTATCTAAAATGACACTGGCTAAGCTTGCATATCGAGATGCCCGGACTAGCTGCCTTGCTGAATTTCGTCTATGGAACCTGAAGTCCCCGATCAGCTTTTTTCAACCTTGACCGCCAACTTCCAATAATAAAGAAAGCGAAGTGTCCACTCGACAAATACACTCATTTTCATAACAGTTTGGATTTTCACAAATAGCCCAACTGAATATCTCCGTGACAGTTTGACTCACCATCTCACCGAACTTCGTTACGTGGCTGTCTATTGTCCTCAATTCCACCATCTCGCCTTCCGATTAACGGTTCAATCCTTGACATTTCAACCACATTGAATTAATCAGCAGTGAGATTATCTTTCACTTAGCTGAAACACAGTGTCACTCATCGTTCAATCACGCAAAACTACATCACGTGGCCACGCATTGACCGGCTCCTCAAGTTTCACGCATCCTGTTAATCTACCCTTACTCCAAGTTACCTGTAGATTTGATTTGTAGATTTGTAGATTTGATTTTTTTGTTCCATAGCATAGAAAGTTATAGTGCGCAAGTTACACAATGCCGTTACTCTGCTATCTAAAATGACACTGGCTAAGCTTGCATATCGAGATGCCCGGACTAGCTGCCTTGCTGAATTTCGTCTATGGAACCTGAAGTCCCCGATCAGCTTTTTTCAACCTTGACCGCCAACTTCCAATAATAAAGAAAGCGAAGTGTCCACTCGACAAATACACTCATTTTCATAACAGTTTGGATTTTCACAAATAGCCCAACTGAATATCTCCGTGACAGTTTGACTCACCATCTCACCGAACTTCGTTACGTGGCTGTCTATTGTCCTCAATTCCACCATCTCGTACGGCTGAACCAGTGTATGCTTTTTTATGTCCTTGTGCGCATGTGTGAGAGAGAGGGAAGCCAAGTGATGCATGCAACACGTGAAGCCTGCACACCTATAAGATAGATCCAGTGTGGCCGAAATCAATGAAACCAATAAAGTTAAGACAACCGAGTTGAGGAACGAAATTTACTACTGATTACCCAGTGATACGTCCACATTTTTCGTACACATACAACACAGTTTTTCACTGAATTTCTCAATTACCTTCTTTCATGTCAAATTTCGACTTCCTCCAGCTTCATGACAATCCGGGCTGGGCACGGATCATAACACCCCTCTCGGCATCATCACCGTTAGCCTCCCTAGCGAATCACTGGTGACTGACGATGATGCTGTTATTTTTTCAGGTATTTTTGCGCGCATGACATTCTGTGCGCGTAACATATGGCCCAGCGAACTTGTTTGGTAAACCCATCACCAGAGCTACCACAAACGGAGTATTGACTGACATACGACTGATGAATTACAGGTTGCTTCCCCGAGTCAGGACACTATAAGCACACATGAGTTAAGGATTTGAAGTTCTAGGGCAGTCGTCAACAGCATCGTCATCACCATCACCATTACCATCGTCCCATTACTGACGCCAGAATACACCTGCCTACACTGTCACCCAAAAATTTACGTTTATTCAGGGGTATTTCTAACTCATTAAAAACACACAAATATGTGGTTTAAAAAATCGAATGGACTTCCACCGGTTGCTGATTTTCGCCGGATCACCATCCAAAACTCACAACCTTTTCTGCGACAGTTTTGATGAAGCTCATGTATTGCAAATCAGTAATCAAGGCATACGAGCATTCGGTCGCTAGACAAACAGTGATTTGATTGTCATCACAAAGAGCAGCCCAGCTGCCCTCATTGTCTTTGGCTGATGTTGTCACGCAGGTTGCAGGTTTTGGGGGTTCAGACAACGGAACAAATAGATAAATATCAAAAGTGTGACACTATCGACGACCCGAAAATGTGACCCACGGAAATTGTGAAGCTGTGAGAAGTCCAGTACGAACAAACTAATCACAGGTTGGCTGAAACTCCTTGACAGCATACCATGGTTTTCACTCTTTAGGGTCTGAATAGGTACTTGAACCAGACTGCACCGAACTTAGACATTTAGCTGGATTCTGTTGGTTCAGCCAGTCAAACTTTAATCAGTATATGGATGTGCAATATGCAATCTGTGCAATCGTGAAACGCTCCTTAAGAGGTAACCAAAATAACCCACGTGTTTCACCGGTATTACAGTGTTTTTTTCTTCCATCCAGCTGAAAATAGTTTAACAGCAAAAGTGACACTAATCGATGATGGCTGAATTTTGTGCAATACCAGGCTAAACGTCTCTTGCATTAGGTCATGGAGCATCTGCGTACAGGGATCACGAAGAGAACAAGGGAGATTCAGGGTTAGGACTTCACTTTGTTTCATCTGCTGGTTCGGTGGTTTGACCATATATGAAGGACGCCATAGATGATATTACACAAGAATCCCGCGAGTGTAATTTAAAAAATTACTCTACTTACTTCCCACATCAGAAGGAAGAATATCCTGGAAGATAGAGCCAGAGTAGCGGGCATGCATGTAAAGCATCGTGCAGTTTCTGAATTAGCAAGCTCGATCATGTCGCCATTGGGACGGTCACTCCCAGCGCTTTTGAAATCACGCTCTTTGTAGTACGATTGGATGCGTCCAGTAAAATATCCACATGCTTTATAAAACATTAAGGAACAATGTCAAAATGAAGGTGAGGCGAAAATAACTTTTGAACACGGAAATTTTTTTTATGTGGAACTGATTTGTAAATGCACCGTTTGTTGGTCGTCTATCAAGAGCATGGTTAAATGTGGTTTGCTTGTGGTGATCAGCTTGTGAATGCCCCGTCACGAACGGAAGTGGCAACATGGGTGAATGGTTGGACAGACAGTTCCTCCTTAGCTGTCAGATACAATGCGCCTGTGACCGGTTGACGGGAGCATACCTTAATCTGGTTCCTGTCGGTCCTTTCAGAGCTGCACTGCGTTGCGATCTGTGTTCTCAGGGTATGCTCCACGACATATTCTGTCTGAAAATTTAGTTGCTGAGTATGGTCTGCATTCCTGGAATTCGTTAGGTGCCCTCAGCAGATCCTGTCTGAGGGACACTTGTTCATGCTCCCATTTACCGGGTACCGAGTTCTGTCTTGGCACATGTTGCCTTCGTTACATTCGATTCGCCGTCACTCAGAATTATGGTTTCAATAGTTTATTTTAATTGCTTCGTTCTGAATTCGTGTTGTGTTGTGGTTTGATTTTTGGAGTTTCATTGTGTGGATGAAATTTCTTTGGAAAATCTGCTTGCTAACGTTCAGGAAAGTGTATCGCTTTTGATTACCCATTCCAGTGGCTACATACCTCTTCTACTATCTAAAGTAGCTACATGCGTGATTGGAAACACTGGAACTTGTCAGCTTGGAATTAGAAAGTTTTCAGTCCATCTTGCCTTTTATTCCGTTATTAGATCCGTTAAGAATCTGGCAAATAACAAAAAAATATTTTTTTCAAAGATGACCAACGAAATGTTTTATATGAAAATGTAGTTTCCCAGTAAAAAAGCGCACTAAATCAGGATATAATATAGGTTGCGGGCGGTGAACAATCCGTAATCTAGGCGATAGCCAATAATGTGCTACTGACATATTACCGCTTAGCGGGTGGGTTCAGAAATCAGCGTGTCAGACTGAGTGCACTGAAAGGGTGGATTCAGGAATTCTTCACTGCAAGTAATTCAGAGGAACCACGAAACCTCAAAATAGACCCAAATGGGCAGCTATGGAATAGCGACCAAACGGAGCAACAGCGCCAATTTTCGGAACCAAAGCAGCATGTGAGCAGATCACCAACTAGCACAAAGATTTTGAAGAAGGCCCGACAATCAATGTTCACGAAAACTGTTGAATCATGTGTGTTTCTATCTAACTGCAAATGAAATAGATCGGTTTAAGGTAACTAGTAAAATGAACATCTATCTCGAGTAAACGTAGGAAGCATTTATTAACCAGAAAAACGGTGAATAATAGATGGAATGAAATATTACTGTTTTGCAAGTGAATAAACGTTGTCTGGTTTCCTGGATTGTCTACGGTTACACCTCGAAAAGGTTGGCGGTGGTAACCACTACTCTACTGATGCCCGCAGAATCCACTACCAAACCGGGACACGACAGTGCTAATAGGCTCTTGGGATAAAAGCCTTAATCGAAGAAAATGAATGGCCTCATTTCTATGTCTGGGTGCAGATGTAACGGCAAATACTACGGATGGGGCTTACGACTGCCATGCGTTTTTTTTTCGAAGCTCAGCTTCGCGCCTAATGGAAAGTAAGATTTATTTCGAAACACTTGGTGCGGCTTTGCCGTGTTCGTTTCCAAAAGCGTGATATTCCATGAATAGCCATAAAAATTGAGAATGACACCTGAGGATATTCAGCTTCTAAAAACTATAAGCAAATGAGACGGTTCTTTTCCCGTTCAATAGATTGTAGCTGCTTAGTTGATGATTGCTAATAAAACAGACTACTACTGAATACCTGAATACTTGATGTCGATAAATTTTCCATGAGTCGGATCCAGCCAAAAGGATGACCTTGTTCTTTGCCAGCTTGGTTTTCAATATTGGTAACCAATTGTAGGCACCGAAGTTTTCCAAGCATGCAATACAGTCCATGAGGAACGAGAACGTAATAAGATGCGAACAAGAACGTATCACACCCAGGCTTACTTGAGGTTCAAGGTGCAAGGAATTTTTTACTATGCGCCTCCTGTAAATTGAACTTTGCCTCACACACATATGGCGAATGTGTGTAAAAGCAGTCCAGCAAAACTTAATAGGTCGGCGGTACAAAGTTTACACTAATCAGCGTATGATTAGCAATTTCGATCCCCTGGCTCAATGAGTGATCGATTGCCGAGATGCTTTTCAACATTGTGTGCATCTCCGTTATATGTGTTTATTTTTTAGGCGAAACGGGGATTATTTCGTTGAAAGGCTGCAAGAAGTTTTTACATAGCGGCTGGCAAAGCGAAATTACTTTTGCTGATACTTTTGGTCCATGGGAAATAGGTACAGGTTTTGTATTAATAATCATAAGGAAAATGCGCATCTGGAAATTTCCGAGTTTTGAGCAGGTCAGAATAAATGTCAAAATTATCTGACTCAAACATGAGAACATGTCAGGCAATTGGGATTTTTTGTGCACAGATTCTTAGTACGCATGCGAAAATTATCAAAGCTGTGTTTTGAGTAATCGGCTGAACTTTATTGGATAAAACCTCCAACAGATCAGTTTGGTGGTCGATACTGAATTCGCCCACTGAAAAACCAAGATAAAACTTAGGCGAAGTACTGCCGAACACTAATTGCGATTACTACCTGTTAGCCTGAAGATAGCACTAATTTTCTTCTATCACAGAAACGAAATCACATGACCACGGACTGCGGGCTTCTCCAGTGTCCACCTCTCAGTTGGTACTTCGCCCAGCGAAATCGTTCTTCCTCCTACTTATCGATTGTTGGCAGTAAGAATAGGTTGTGTCAGCTCCTGTGTTGATCCCGTAAAATCGGTTAAGCCAGTCTGAAGCGACAAGCCGAAAAGTGCTTACACCCATTGCATTTCAGAAATATCCAGGAAGAGGCAAACCTGCAAATTTCCGAAGATCAGAAATTTACGTGACTGCTAATCCGCATGCTGATGCCCAACATGCTGCTCCCACCTCCATGAATTATTGTAATAAGAGGAAATTACAGTCTTAGCCCCATGTTTAAGCCCTCATGTTCTCACCACGTACTGCGGTGTCGCGTGTTTTTGGTTCTCGCTTTGTTTCCATGCCCACGAGTATTGGTTACCACCAGAACGTCAACGAGAATCCGACACTCATCATACGCCCACCCCCTATTCAAATTGATGTAGCACGTCAAACAAGGCTACCAATTAAGCCTCGTCGTCGTGGTATACTATCAGCATCACCATCATCGTCATCACAATAACGTCATGGAATCTCATATCTCGCCGAAAGGCTTATTGTGAAGAAAAGAATATAGTTAGAGATTGAGGGCTAGTTCACTGCAATCATTTTCAGGTGCCTACTCCTACAAGCACTCTTCCAGGGAACGTGGATAAAATAGGCCGGTAACAACGATTACCAGCCATGACCTGCACTATTCCAAAGTTGATTTGTTCTCAACGCCAGAGGAGTTGAGTCTCCGTGTGAATGCCGTCACTGTCGAAAGAAAATTCACATAAATTTCCTGTGATCAATCTAGGGTTCCACTGAATTTCTGTTGTGCGTTTAAGGGTCGGTTATGGTTACCACTGGCGCAACAGATGGGTCACTTTTTGGGGTTTATTTGTGTAATTTTGCCCCCTTTCTGGAAGGCCCCGTATTTCAAACCCGGATGTCTCTTTTGCGGAAGTGAATGTATCGCTCGATGACAATAGTTGCATGTGCATTTGCTGCCCTCTGTTCCGAAATATCAACCGAATCACTGTACACTACTAGCGACATGTAAATAGATAAATATGGGGATCGATTAGAATATATAGTCGTACACGTCACCCCGTTCACACTAGATTATTTCAATATTATCAGGTCAACATCGGTGATTGCAAGAAAGTAATCATAATGTTATTTGGGTACTGATTAATTTTTTATGTCACACTTCTAGTATCGCACATACTCTCGGGGATCCCAGCTGTGAAAATCGACTTGTTACAACACTGGGTAGCTACGATAGAATTTGGATTGTTCGTCGGGTAAAAAACACGATTTCAGGAAGAAATTTACCAGTGTCATTTTGCCAAGTAAATATTAGGCCTCGAATGGTGCATTGCTGTGTATTCCGTTTCCAAGTGCAGACTTACTTCAAGGGATCCGGTAACAACGAGCATCTGTAATCGCTTTTGAGGTAGTTATTGTGGGAAAACATCACGTTGCAACGTGGTAGCACATTGAAAAAAACAAATGTATTTGTAAATCCACACTAATCTTTTTTCGTGCATCAGACTAGCATTAGAATTGCGTGAGCAGATTACTCCGCTTCAAACCGTCTCACGTCAACCTGTGACTCCTGTCGCATATATTGTACACCGGTTCGGCATTGGAAAAGTAGACAAAGTTAGGTGATATGATAAAATTCGATAACGTGAATCACAAAACTCTGTGACAGGACATGTTCCAACCGAAGTCCCCACTAATGCCGTCAGCAAAACATTCCGTGTAAAGGTCATTTTGCCTCATGCCGTCATCCATTTAGAAAACACAATTTTAAAACACTTACTTTCTTACCATATACTAACTCAATTAACAACCAATTGGATTTCATTCTCCGAAGATACTGAATCCCGTGCTGAGGCGTTATGAAACATGAACGTGACACATTTCGGGAGAAGCGAGGTTCCATGCGATTCATGATTGGAGGTTGACATTCTCACAGATAGACGCGTTCCTCCACTCCCAACAATAACCTCTTTCAGGATAACGCAAGATGTCTTTTCCTATTCCATAAGAGTTTAACCGTCCTGGCCGGCGTGACGACCATAGGTGTTTGAGAAGCCTACCCGAGGTTTTGGGATATTCAAACGCCAGTTGATACTTCACTGTTCCAGCATAAAAATCAATTGGGGATGATTTAACCCAAAGAAACTCGTTCAGACAATCGAGATGGAAACTAACAAGAGTAGTTGGTTGTTCGGAACACCAGCCACGTGGTCGCGTGATCGTTTCTTGGGATTCGCAAATGAAGTAATCCTCATTTGTGATGGAACAGATGTACAGGGAATCCTGGCTCCATTCACCGTACGAAATATTGATTAGAGTTCACTAACCAAATTTTGCCAATTGTCGTCAGCTTTAGAATGGTCTACGCGCTACTCCGTGTAAGCTGGAGTTCAAGAATTGCTAGATTTAAAACCCATGCGTAATATCAAATTGTAGTGTGATGAACGAACTCCCCACATAAATCAGTGACATCCGGGTCATTTTTCTGATTCTACACGCGTATGGCGTGTCGTGAATATCTTGCGTTTTCACATTGTCGTTTCGTATTACCAATCCTCTCGAGTTCACTTTCAGCACATTTACGTTCATTCATAGACTAGCGGAGGGCTATGACCCGTTCTAGTTATAACTAAACACATTGCTCAACAGCCGCTCGAGTTGAGACGTTCATTTCTGAATCTACTAGCCGGAACTTTCCAGATTCGATTTGAAACAATCTGGAGTTTGGTGAGTTGCGCACTGCAGATAATTTCCAGCAACGATGGAGTGGTTTTGCAGTGCTTCTCTGCTTTTAGACACAAACTGCATTTTTTTCCTAGTAGAACACCTAACAGAGATTCCCAAATTTCCCCATGCCTTTGCATAATCGTCCAACATGTCAACACAAGGTTTGAATATGGTTCGAACTGAACAAGAACCTAACGCTGAATAAGGAACTGGCATGTTCGGGGTTTCGGGATATGCAAACGCCGGGGGATC